TTCTCTCTCTGATTTTTTTTTAAAACTGTTTGGAAATAAAGGCATTTATTATCATTATTATTATTATTATTATTATTATTATTATTATTATTATTATTATTATTATTATTATTATTATTATTATTATTATTATTATTATTATTATTATTATTATTATTATTATTATTATTATTATTATTATTATTATTATTATTATTATTTGTTCATTCAATCATCTCCTCTGAGAGGGTTTGATATGCTTAATCCAGGTTTGCACCAGAGGATGTAAGCATTTTGAAGGCAACTACCAATTTTGCAGGTTACAATGTCGAGTTTTCGCCTGCCAGGACCCTACGGACTGTTCTGCATGTCCCCAGTAAAGCGGCTTTCTGATTTTTTTTGTAAACATGTTGGTCAAGGTCTAACTTTTCAAGACTTGTGTGTAACTTCTTAAGGACCTCACCTGTTGCGCCAATAACTATCGGTACAATCGTAACTGTATTCATTCCCCACATCCGCTTTATTTCTTCTGACAGTGGTAGATACTTGTTGATTTTTTCTGAGTAGGTACTTTGAAGGTTGACAGGGAGCGGAACCGCGATATCTATAATGTATGTTTATTATTATTATTATTATTATTATTATTATTATTATACGTATATACAACATGGTGATTTCAACAGAGAAAACTAAATCGTTAGTGATATCAGCGGAACCGAGACAATAAAAACTGATCTTAAAGAACAAAATAATAGTGCAAGTGACGAAAACGGAATACTTGGGAATGAAAGTGTCAAGCTATGGAAAAGTCGAAGAAGAAGTCCAAAAGCAAGTGAACATGGCGAACAGAGCAGCAGGATGTCCCAACAATTAAATCTGAAAAAACAAATCCTTCACAACGGAAACGAAAACTAGGATATATAAGTCAACAACAAGACCGATAATGACGTACACAGCGGAAACAAGAGCTCATACGGCGAAAACACAAAGATTATTGGAAACAGCAGCAATTTAAGTCTTACGAAAAATAACAAGCCAAACTCTAAGAGACAGATTAAGAAGTGAGGAAATACGCGCGGCATGTGGTATAGAGAAAATAAACCTATGGACCAAAAGAAGAACAATAGAATGGAATCAACACATAGAAAGGATGACAGAAAATGGAACAGTATAAATACCAAGAGACAAATCGCCAAATGGAAGAAGATCAATGGGACGACCGAGGAAAAAATGGTCAGACAACATCAATTGAGGCTAAAAGCAGAAGTAAAACAAGCACTAGCCTACAAATAAAGTAGGAAGAAGATGAAGAAAATTTCAAAGTGGAAGCACGGGGCCGCACCCCTAGACATTTGGCGTCTCCTGAAGTGGCTGCATGCAGGCTGTCAAAGTAGAGCATACATACATAGAAATGTTATAGAATGTTATACCAATATCCTTCTATCGGAAGAGTCTATCTGAATGTGCAATGAAACATACAACATTCAGCTTCAAAAGCATTACAGTCTTCGTTTTGTTTTATCAGAGACTTCTGTATTACATTGCGTATTCGGAAAGATCCTTTCAGGAGAATTAATTATGTATTATATAATTTATATACGAGGTTTGTAAATTAAGTGATGAGACTGGCAACGTGACGTTCGATTTGGCAACCTTGGAAGCGCAGGGCTAGGGAAGTCCGAACTTGCTCGAGTCATTTGATTGTCCGTATCGATTCTTTTTTTGTGATCAGTTCATCCTATTGTGTTCTAAAAATTTCATCAATTTCGAGCAACGGTGTGCTATCAGGTGTTGCTTCAGACTTGGGCACATTGTAACGAAAACTCTTGCTTAGCTTCAGCAGGCCTATAGAGGTAGTGTTTTGTCAAAGGTCCAGGTTTTTCGGTAGTTTAAGGCATTTTCAGAAGGGAGAGAGTCAATTGAAGATGAACCACGAAGCAAAAGGCTTTTATCTTCAGGAACCAATGAAAATATCAACAGACTCCGGGATCTTGTGCATTCAGACCAGCGGTTGACAGTCAGAATGATCGGGGAAGAGTTATATTTGACTCACACCACCGTTGGTAAGATCAAGAGCATCACAACGATGCTCCTTGTCACAAAGCAATGTCAATAATCGAGTTTTTCCTCAGCCTCTTTACTCGCCGACTTGAGTCCTTGTGACTTTTTTCTCTTCCCAAAATTGAAAAATCATCTCATTTTGGGGCAGCGGAAAACATTCAGACAGCTAACCGACCAGGTGGAGGCTATTCCAGTAACAGATTTCTAGCTCTCCTATGAGTAGTGGAAAAACTGTCTCCAGCGCTTTGTGGCTTCCAAGGGAAATTATTAAGAGCGTTGAATTAAGAGTTTTAAGAAAGTCAGTCTCATCACTTGATTTACAGATCTCGAGCCATAGCATTTTGATGTCTGGTTGGTGAGTTATAAGTGATTCAATTCGCGTATGCCCCTAACGTTAGCAACCTGCTAGTTCGCTATTTTTAAAGGTTCATTTTCCATGTTCTAGGCTTATCAACCAATAATGGATTGCTCACGATTTCCTGCTGCAATATCAAATTGACATTCGGTCTTAGATTGCCCAATTCTCCTATCAATACGGGAACCCATTAAGGGGGAACATTGTTGGGCCGTATCTATACCTTTGTCAATAGCATTGAGTGATCAAGCATTGTAAAACTAATGTAATATTCAGTTTTTATTTAATTTCACATGATTTCTTCCTATTATATGTTTTTTGATTTGCTATTCTAGGTTTTGGTTGTATTCCACTTTTGTTCGGAAATGTTCGTTTTGCTGAGCAGCCCAACAGGCGGAGTCATTTGATTTTTTGGCATGTGTTCTGACAAGCGTAATACGTTTAAATTCGAATTTTCTGTGTTCCACCATTCATCAACGTCAATAAATTCTGTTAGTCGGAACAGCGGGGTGTGGGTACCAGGACAGGCAGGAATCATCCAAATTTATTTATTGACGTTTTCACGTGCCATTTATCCAGGCGTCTGGATCCTCTTTTTTCGAATCGTGCGGTTGACCAAATGGAGGCTATTTGCCTAATGGGCTAGGGATTTTTAACGTAACAAATGTATTTACCTGTCGGAAAGGTCAGACAGGTATCGCTGGTACAGATACAACGGCACAACGAAGGCTTTGGCGATAATATTGGGTAACTTTATTAGCTCGGTACGCCACCTAGCGGATCTTTGTTAAGGGGCAAATTAAATTTCAAACTTACAATTCTCTATCTAAACTATATATATCTTATCACGGCTTATGCCGATTACGTAATAATGCCTCACTAAATAAACGAGCAGACTGTTTAATGGTACCGTGTACACTGTTAACTTTCCCTAAGGGAAAATAAGGAGGCCGAGGAGCCACAAGAATGCTTTTACGGGCCAAAAACTCGTTTATTGACATTAATGTGTGACAAGGAGCATTATAGTGATCCAACATCCAGCTGTTCTTGACCTGATGAAATTTGGTGTGAGTCCAATTTAATTCTTCCCCGATCATGTTGACTGTCAAATGACGATCTGAACGCACAAGATCCCGGATTCTGTCGATGTCCTGACGGCATAATCTTGTGTATGCTCAAGCTTTGTATATCAGAGCTTTTGAATTCATTGACAAAAATTATAAACTGTTGCTTAGAGAAGACATTTTCCTCGACTTCGAAGAGTGGCTGTTTAGAGGCCCGTTACCTAATATCCCTGCTCCAACTGAGCTTGCTCATTTGAGACCTATTATTTTACTATGTATTACATCCAACCTGTTAGAAAAAATAGTTAGTGTACAGCTAAATCAGTATTCAATATATCTAGACATTCACCCTAAGCACCAGTCGGGTTTTAGGGGATTGCATAATACAACCTCTGCTCTTTTAAATCTTAATGATGAAATTATACGGTCGTTGCCACTCTACTTATATCCTTGGATCTTTCAAAAGCCTTTGACGCCATTGACCATTCACTTATGTGCGCAAAACTGTATTATTATGGCCTTGACCCATACAGCGTTGAACTTATTTTGCAATTACTTAAGTCTTCGTAAGCAAGGCGTTATTCCACATAACAAAAGATCTGAGATAACAACAATAACATCAGGAGTTCCTCAAGGTCCTGTTTTAGGACCGTTGTTATTTATTATACACACAGCTGATATCTTGAAATCCGTACAGTACTCACACATTCAATGTTATACTGATGACACGCCGCTTCTGTTTCATTTTGAACCATCTCTTGCGGAACAGGCTAATGATTTAATCAACACTGACTTACGAACAGTATCTGACAATTGTATAAAACACAATTTGAAACTAAATCCTGATAAGACGAAACTTGTGCATTTCTGTTCTGGTCACAAGCGAGAAAACTTGAGCAGTGGTCTGACCCTGTTCTTGAGTGAACAACAACTTCATTTTTCAACTAGCTGTAAGATACTTGGTTTGAGCGTAGAAGACATTTACGTTACCAACAATACATTAAAACGATATCTCAGAGGTGTTATTTGAAATTGCGAGTACTATATGTCAATAAGTACATTATTAACTTTAAAACGAGGAAAAAGCTGGCTTAATTTTTAGTGCTATCAAATAGCAGTTATGGTTTGATAGCTATTTATCCATGCCTGGACTATTCGACTCAAATGCGCCGGCAGAGATTGCAGAATAACTGTTGCGGTTTGTCTGTAACTTACGTAAATTTGACCACATATCTAATAGTCGCAGGTTTTTACAATGGCTTAGTATCAATTCTCTGTTCAAATATGTTTACCTAACAACATTGAATCGTGTATTATACAGGGTGTCCGCAAAGTTGGGGTTTTCCTTTTCAGAAACAACTACCCTTGAAATGACAAAGTTAATGTGTAGTGAAACGAGGGCGACCAAGTAAAAAAAATAAAGGAAAAAGTACTCACTCTCCAGTTGACGAGAAGGGCTAAGTACGTCTCTGCCCGAAATCATACCGCTCCAACAGAAAATGAAATCAGCTGAAGCGCTACCGAGCAGACGCAGAAACCACATTGATTGTCTTACACTTAATGGCACATCTTCTAACAAGGAAGGCAAAATGTTGCGTGAAAAGTCTAGGTATTGCATCCCGTCCAATCGATTTGGGAGAATAAATGGTCCAATGAGCATACCGTACACCATGCCAGCCCAAACATTCACCGAAAATGTTTGTTGAAAATGACCGAACATGAGTGTTGCGAAAGTTATTCACCCCATTACGCGTGAACGTAGATTCGTCTGTCACCAATATGCACTTCAAAAAGTCCGGATTATTGTCATGTTGATGCAACAACCACTCACAAAACCGCACTCTTGCTGGAAAATCGTCAGGTTGGAGGGCTTGTACACGTGGACGCAGCGTTTGCCACACTTTAGTTTTTGATACTTGCACTTCTTTAGTGCTTGTTGTTTTTTGAAACGCAATAGATTATACGAGTTCGTTGACCTCTACACGCGTGACTGTCACCGTCGGTTGAAGGTTGCATACTAACCTGACACACTGACGAGTTCTGTCGTCGGGTTGAGACCTTGTACCAACCGGTGATATCCCGGCGGGTCGCGGCTACAGGACGGTATTCAGATATTTTTGATGTTACAGAGCCCTTTATCTCGGTTCCCTTAAGACATTGGTGTATATGGTACTAAGAAAAATTGCTTATGTTTTCAAGATCTACAGGTCGTGTAAAGGAAAACCCCAACTTTGCGGACACCCTTTATTCTAAAAATTGTGTATATTTAGTAGAAAAGCTGGTCTCTAGGTCAAGTATACTTAATGTCAATATAAGACATCAAAACTATATTACAATGCCTATGCATGTAACATCGCTCTTTTATAGATCTTTTACGTATAATGCAGCGTGTATTTTCAACATCTATAGCAGGAATATCGATCTATCAAGTACTAACTAACTAAGTACTAACTATAACATCCGTTTCAAACTGCATCGCAGATAACATCTTCTAGGAATTCAGCATAGGATCAATGAACAAATGCCCTGTGATCAATTACCATTATGTTCTTTTAGTTAGATTGATCGACATACAATCGTTTACTGTATATGTAAAATACCATATTTGTATGTCAAATTAGCATTAAGCTTTAGTCTTTAGAAAGCTTGAGTGTAAGAATAGATGTGCTACACTCCGCCAATAAAGCCGTTTGACTGAAGGATATCACAAGATATTCGCTCATATGTTGGTTTACTCACTAGTTTCTCTGAAAACGCAAAATAACTAATAATAAGCAGCAGCAGCAGGTGTGAGCTGCCAGGATAACGACTGGTTTCGGTTGTTTCACCCCTTGTTCCCTCGCCTACATCAGGTTTAGCAAAAGTTTAAGAGAAACTTGTTCAGCTTCTGTGCGTTTATAACAGGGCTTGATGAGAGCTGAAGGAACTTTTTGAGTGAGGCTCTTCTGGCTAAAATGGTACGCTTAAATCAAATTGCCGGTAAGAGTGCCTCCCAGGGAACGCGTAAACAGCTTCTGTCTGCATAAAAACGACCCAGGTTTGGTCCTGCATATTCTATTTGCGTTGCGCTTTAGGAAGCTTTTTAAAAATAAGTTCCCTCATGATATTTCAAGCAGATCTTATTTATGTGGTCTGCTATACAGGGTGCCTCAGAATCAAATAATGGTGATGGCTCGAGAACAGGATTCTATAAAAGTGTCAGCTTTCCGACAGCAACACAGGCTCCTAGAAGGCGCTTCTCAAAATAATTTTTCTAATAACGTTTGATGGACACTGCATACTTCTCTAGTGGGCGATAATAGGATGACTACTTCTACCCTTGCCACCGTCGTCGTGGTGGCGTAGTCGTCTGGTAAAGTAGCGACACCTCTCTGTTGCAGTACCAGAGCTGGCTTGAGGAACAGTATTTTTCGCACTGTAGTCAGGTCATTTACTCGATGTTTGTTAAACAATAAGCACTCTGTCATTTTATTTATGTCTTCAAGGAATTTATTAAGCAACAATGTAATGACGTCATGTCATCTATTGTAACTAGCAGGTCTGACCCATGTTTCGGGTAGGCCACAAGTCCTTTTTTATTAGTGGAATTTGCATCAACTTTTGTGTCCAGATGCAAATGAAAAATAGGTTTTTGTAGCTGAATCATGTGATACGTGACGTAGTTATCAATTTAACATGTTCACTGCGTCGGCTAAAGACCTAAATTGGCCTGATATGCATTACGAGGCAAACTTGACTCGTACTGAGTTGGCTCGACATGCGTTCCGGATGAAATATACCTCGTAGTCAACAATAAAGTTCTTTTTTGTAAAATAAAAGCTTTTTCAAAGAAATAACCATACAGTAATAATTATAAAAGTTACTTTAATCTAAAACAGAGCCAGGAAAAGCTAAAGTTAAATAATAGTATTTTTACGATAGGAAAAAGTAAAATATGTATTTTTGCAATAATATTAAAAACACGTTCTTTAATATTAAACTAAAACAGTCAAATCCTAAGCTAAAATATAGAAACAGTCAAATTCTAAGCTAAAATATGGTGTCATTTATATAAAAGAAAAGTAAAATATTGATTTTGCAATACAAAACGACTAACGGACTTCATTAAAACAAACTAAGCAGAAGGCCGGCTTCCCCGCGCACTCCTGTAGACTTTTTTTACCTTTTTGTCAGCTTCGCGACTATTCATTGTTCTTCTTAGTAATTTGTAGCATCCTACATAGTTTCTCCTCTTTTTGTTTGTGGTTTCCCCTACAGTAAGGGTATGGTATCTTTTAGGAGTTCTTGGCCGTTCTGGTTGCAATTCTTATCTGCCACACTGATAAAAAGATTTCGCTAGCTTTTATCTTAATTGGAGAATTGTGACCTTGCTAGTTGGATGTTGATGATTAAACATAACCCAAGCATTGACGATTGCTGAATTAAAAATTAATTCAACTGCTATTTTCTTGTACCATTTTAAACTCTTTCGGATGGGGCTCTGGTAGATGCCATCTGGTCACTGTAATCGACACATTTTTTTGCGTTATTGTAATCGATTACACACTGTGTTTTTTTTACAGTCTGTTCTTTTCTTATTTTTCCTGTATTAACTAATGATGTATCGTGATTTTCACAGGTTGAGAGCACCAGAATGTCTTTTATCTACCCACCTCATAATTTTTATGCCCTCTGACTCTTTTCCAGCTATTTGATCTCTTTTAAGCTTTTGAGAAATAATATTTTTAGGAATAGTTTTGCGATTCTTTCTCAAGGTACCACAGATTCTTGTTTTTTTGGTCTTCAAATATTTTGCCAATTCATTAGAAGTATAAAAATTATCGCAATATAAAGTGCGGCCGTATTCAGAGTAGTCACTAAGTAATGAATCCACTATCAACTCTGCGTGGCTGATGGTAAAACCCATGTCTTCTTGACCCGAATAAATTTTGAAATTAATCACATAACCATCAGTATTGCAAAGTTTGTAATGTTTCACACCATATTTGTGGGATTTATTTTTTATATATTGTTTATTTCTTAGGCGACCCCTCCATGGTATCATAGACTCATATATAACTACTTTTTTTGGAACAATCACTGCTTCTTTGGATGTCTTTGTCAAGCTGTCAATCAAATGGTGAATTTTGAACAGTCTGTCTTCGCCAGTATCATCTATGTTATTCATGAAATGCCAGCATCGTCAAATAATAAAAAATCGGCCCCTTGTCATACAAGATGATATAAATTTATTATGATATAAGGAATCTTTGGACCAATACAAATTCATTATTGGAGCGTTCACAATTCCCATGGCTATTACTATTGCAAAAAAGTTTTGCAATTTATTAGGATCTACTGGTTTCCATAAATTTAGTCTGAATTTAGGTTTGTTTTCTTGTGACATCAAATTTTCAGCGTATCTATTAGTCTCTTGAACCATTTTCTCGCTCAACTCGTCATTAAAAAAAATCGATAGGGGAAGAAAGGTCACGTGGTACATTAAAACTGATTTCATTATTACACAAAGTAGGAAGCAATTCACTAAAGGGCACTGTTATATCGACCCAAGTTATATCAGATGGGCCAGGAGCATTTTTTGAGGCATTATTTTGGCCTAACGGGAACACATCTTAGGAGACTTCGAACTCATTTTCATCGCTGGATTAACTATCACCGGATGAACTTGGTACGTAATTTTTGTCCATCAGCGAGTCATCTGAATCTTCATAAGACGAACACTCGGACTCCGACTCCGACTCACTTTGCCTTGACATAGCTTGTGCAAGATCAACAAGTTTTTTTCCTCGAGACATTTTTGCGATTAGTACCACCCACCACGGCGTATACTTGCCAACTGAATAAATTTACTGTAAGGTATTGTGCTCTAATTCGAGAAAAATCCTGCATAGACTTGTCGAATATAATGATTAGATGCGGGTCGGGGTAAAATTGACCCGTAAACGTGTGACCCTGTACCGCAAGTAAGTAAAAATTTATAGGTTGTATGCGGTTCGGGGCCTATTTGGGTTGTACTGTTTTTTTGTCGAAGAAAAATAGTACTTAAATTGCAATTCTATAGCTATAAAAACCTCTTTTTTAGCTTAAAAAATCAAAAATTTGACAAGCTTCGCAATATGGAATACCTTAAGGAAAAATGCCCGCCGCACCAGGTGCGATAGTCATATTAGCCCCGTAACGCAGTGAACGTGTTAAAATGATAATTAGCAGCTAATCTTACACAAGTATCATAATATTTCTCTAGTTTGAGAGACGTTTTGCAAGAAATCGACCAAATTCAATCCAATGAATTACTTTATCCATTCGTCATTCCAAAGACTCCTTCTCATTGTTCCAATCTGTGCCAAAGGTGCAAAACTTGATTTTCGCCGATCAATTTTAAAATCACTGCTTTGTGTTAATCATGCCACCAGCTGCAGGGTACTATGCAAAATGTGCTTAATTGAACACAGTCTGAATAGGATTGTTTGCTTTCCATATCGATGTGCTTGACCAACCAAATACGATGAAGTTTCATGCTTGTTAGCAATCATCAGTGCATGAAGCGTAGGGGCGTAGGGGTTCCTGCGTTACTGACATATAGATCGACAGGCACCGCTTTGTCACTCTACAGAGTCTTTGAGTGAACCATATCTACTCTTCTAATTGTCTATATCCAAGAAAAGACCTAGGATTATGGTTAATTTTTTTGTCAATGTGTCAGTTACGACCCTCCACTGCGACTCACTGATCTATTGTGGCTCACACCTATTTATACTGTTCCTAGTAATTTCGTCCTACTGAGGAAGTGGAACAACTTTTTTGTAGAAATATGAGACAAGACCTATGCTATACTGACGATTGGTAACAAGCATGAAATGGCATCGTTCATGGTTGGTCGTGGTTACACAGATAAAAAGCAAACACGCCTTGTCTTGTTCAGCC